TGTTATGAACTTGGTTGTTTGACAATTGGATTGCCACTCACACACAACAGAACTCACACATGCCCATACATGCACAAGTCAGGGGGAGGAAGAGACAGAGTCCACCTGCACACACATCAGAGATAAGCAGCGGAATAGCAACCATGCACAGATGGGGAGAATGCACACACAGCGTTCTCTCTCTCTGATGAACTCCCAACAACCAATCACGATTGACTCTGCGAAGATCACAATCGGAAAGTAACCCAGATGATGAGCCAACTTAACACAATTAACCCCAATAATCGTTACAGAGTTTAACCCAGTGTCTCGCCACTCAATTACCACCCACTCCACTCACTACCACGCTTCCAGAGTCTACCGCTGCACTGAAACCGTCTCCCAGAGGCCAGCGCCATACACCCAGATGCAGATCATGAGTAGCGAAGTAGTTTCCAGTGTCGATGAGTCTCTCTGACGATGAAAAGGACAGCTATGGCTGTCCGACTGCTACCGCAGCAGCAGAACCCACATATCCTCTGTGAAGACCTCCGATATAGCCTGCCAACGCAGATATCCCCCAGGGGATAGATGCGTAGAGAGCAGTCCCAGCTATGGCTGTCTCAGATGGTGGCTATGGCTGCTTCACTCACAATTGATGTCTCCGATGCCACTGCAGACATTCAGCGCTGCTACACTTGGTTGGCCACCAACGCTGCACGCGAAAAATGAAAGCCCAAAAGTCCCTCTACCGGTTTCCCTTCTCGACTTATAGATTCCTACACTAGCCTAGACCTAGACCGGACTGACTGGACCTACCGGTACYGTTGCTGTTTTTCGGCCTCTCGGCCTCTACCGRACCCGGCTATAGGCTATAGGACCGTATAGCAGTATAGGCCGCTTAGGGCCTGTCTGTCCTAGGGTAGCCCGGRCCTGCTATAGGCAGTTAGGGTAGCTGTAGWAATTCGATTAGTACTGGGCCTGTATTTTCCCGGAATTGCAGATCTGCCCCTCACGAATTTCCAAACAGGCAGGTTTCTCGGTTAGCCCTCAGCCAAACAAAATTTACAAAACTAACCCTACGGTTAGTGTACAGCCTCGCAGACAGTCTCGGCAGCAGAAATCAGCAAGTCATTGCANTAGCCCTCAGCCAAACAAAATTTACAAAACTAACCCTACGGTTAGTGTACAGCCTCGCAGACAGTCTCGGCAGCAGAAATCAGCAAGTCATTGCACACACACACAAAGGGGGTCCGAACCCCCCCGACAGGTGATTGCGCTGGGGGGGCCTGGCCCCCAACCGCGTGCCCTGCCCGGCCAGGCCGCACGGGACCTCCCCCGGGCCCCTGCCAGTCACCCGGGCGGCCCGGATCCCCACTCAGGAAATTTGTACTTTTTCTCTTTCTTTCTTTTATCTGTCCTACGATTAGTGTTGCTCGTGATCGCTTAATTCTATTGACCAGTCAGGAAGAGGAGCCCCCACCCCGGCAGATAGGACAGGCACGCTGAGGATGACGTGGATGTTCACAAGGATACCCAAGGAGAGCTACTTCAGCACAGCATTCAGCAGGACGGCTAGCTCGGACCATCCCATCAAAACAGTCCTGACGAAGGACATGCTGTCCACATGTCAAAAAAACAGCAGGACGTTCATCACAGTGCGGCGTCATGCAGTCCTGATAGCGTCCTTGAGCACAAAAGGGACAGCGAATATCTGGGTGATAGGGATGTGTACAATGAGGAAATGTTGGACACCCTTCGACACTGATGGTGGCGGCTGCAATAGAGATAATGTTGATGGCATAGGTGATGAATTCCGCAGCCAAGACGCACCGCGTCCCTGTCACACGAGTGTCAATCAATAATCCAGAATAAAGTATGATTCTGTAATGCACACAGAAATTCATTTATATTGAAAATAGCCTGAATCATTGTCCCACTGTCCCACAGTTCCCACTGGGCAGCTGCACGAATGAGTGCCATATAATGCCGGGGTCTGTGCAAAACACAGGCAGAAATATGAGGATGGTCGTTAAGGTCATCGCTTGGCGTCGCATGATGCATGAGAAGGTGGTGACCGTGGAAAGCTAGCTGTAAGACATTTACAGTAACGCCTCCTGTGGTAGTATAATTCCTACCTTCAGGAGGTGGACCGTTTTGGCCATACAACAATTGATTTTCAACAGCGTCAAGCTGATAAGCAATTGTAACAAAATGGGAAGCAGTATAACATTCACGCTGATAAGCCTGTAGGCAGACATTTGTGGCTGTCAACCCACAAGCATTTGGTAGATCTGCCCGCAGATCCGATTCGGTCACCACTGGAAAGCTAGGTCTGATCTGGCGGGGTCGGCGCATGAATGACGAACGCCATCGACGTGGCAGAGAAGGCTGTCGGTAAGACAAAGAACCCCACAAATTAGCATCAACACGACGTCGAGAGGAAGGGGGACTGGGAGGAGGAGAGAATGAATGAACCTGCCGACGTCCCAATATAGACATAGAAGACAAAGGAGGGGCCGATCTCAGCCAGCGTGGGGGGGCAAATGAAGAAGAAGAAGAAGAAGAAGAAGAAGAAGAAGAAGAAGAAGAAGAAGGGGAGGAGGAGGAGGAGGAAGAAGAAGAAGAAGAAGAAGAAGAAGAAGAAGAAGAAGAAGAAGAAGAAGAAGAAGGGGAGGAGGAGGAGGAAGAAGAAGAAGAAGAAGAAGAAGAAGAAGAAGAAGAAGAAGAAGAAGAAGAAGAAGAAGAAGAAGAAGAAGAAGAGGAGGAAGAAGAAGAAGATGATGAAGATGATGAAGATGAAGAAGAAGAAGAAGAAGAGGACGCTGGCAAAGAGGAAGGAGAAGGAGAGGGAGGGGGAGAGGGAGAGGAAGGCGGAGGGGAAGTGGAAGGGGAAGGAGGAGGAGGGGGAGGGGGAGAAGAAGGG